TCCCGGCCGCGGCTTCGTTCTGCCTCAGGCACCTCCGCCCGCTGGGAAGCCGCCGCTGGTCCCCGGGGAGCTCGGCCGGGCGGGCAGGAGGGTCAGCTGAAATAGCTGCTGAGGAGACGCACCGGAGCAGTTGAAGGGATAAGATAGAGTAAAAATGAGGAGTAAAAATAAAGGGTTAAGAGGAGGAGGTGTGGATAAAGCCGGTCGCGAGCGTTCAGGCAGCAGCTGATCGCTGTGGAGGGCGCTAACCAACTTCCCCGTGAGGTAACCCCTCCCGAGAGGAGCCGGGTGCGGAGCGGGGGCATCCAGGGGCTCGCCACCACCTCCGGCTTTGAGGCGTAGGACACAAGCCGACACAAAACATTCCGGCTGAGGCTGAGCAGTGCCTAAGGTTTTCCCTTCAACGGGAAGCTGTTTCAGCGCATTATCAACAGGAGCAGGGCTGGTCAGACGGTGCTGGTGCCTTCTGGAGATCACGAGAAGCTGTGTGGGGCTCAATAGATATTTGAATACAAAATTCGTGTCTTGTATATTGCAGTATTTATCAACCTGTTTTGTTGGGGCGACGCTTGTAAGCCCAGATGAAGAAGAGGAGGGAGATGAAGATGGTTCAGATGAGGTTCCCACGGCCTCAAAGAATGAAATCTACGAAATAGTGGGTACTCTTTCTAAACCGGAGAGTACTAATCCACGTTTTGCAAAGGAAACGTATGCAGTAAGTATGAGTCTGATTTCAGATTGCCTTTAGGCAACATTAGAAATATCGCAGGTAATGTAAAATGACCTGCACTAATGAAATGGTCTGTTGTTCCTGCTGGAAGCTGTATCTATCTGTTTTATTCCTTCTGCTTCCTGCATGCGCTCTGCTTTACTCTCTTCTAGTTCTGATACAGTAAATAGTAAAAGGAAGGAACTCAGAAAATAAATTATGTCCTCTTCATGACTTTTTTAAAAAATCTGTCTTGATGATCCACAGCTCTGCTTTCTTTTCCTCTCAAAGCTTACACTTCAAGTATCTCTCATCTTCTTTTTGTCTTTTATCACCATTTTGAAACTAGCGGTGCTGGAATCAAAGTTAGTGATTCCTTTAACGTTCCCTGAAATCACAGCTTTCACTAGCAGGTAATTGTCTGAATACCTCCATCTCTGTTAAAAGATGTGTATGTCCAGAGTTTAATTAATTCTTAATTAACTAAAGGAGGCTTCCTCTTATGAATGTGATTGCTTATTGCTTGATTTAGTTTTCTGAAACTAGAATTGCCTCTGTCTCAAACTACTTGTTATAAACTGATTATTATGCCTCTTATTGAAGAATCTCTTCCAAAACTTGAAAGTTTTGATTCAGATGTCTATGCAGCTGAACTGTTCAATCAGGAAATTATGGCTGGCGGTGTTTAGTTTTAACCACTGCCTTTGCCCAAAGTGTTTGCTGGATTTGGTCGAGTGATACAGACAATCTGCACTTAATAAAAATTACAGGATGCTACCTTGCAAGAAAATGGACAATTTTTTATGCCTTCTCCATTCTGCCTATGGATAGTTGTTTAAAATACCTGGATAAGTAGTAGATATTTTTTGATGCTCACAAATGCACTAAAAATATGGATCCTAAAATACAATTGAAAGTCCATATTTTTGATCTATATTAATGTGTCCTCTAAATTAGAAAATTGAGTATTTAATTTCCATTTCATCAGCTTGCTTGTATCTGACAGATAAAAGTTTGATAACTATCTTATGAATAATTCCATCATCCTAGTGTTAGAAAACCGCATTCTTTCCAGAAACTGAACTTGAATTTATTTTTTTTTTCCCTAATGACAGAATCTGTTTTTCCCTCAGGTTTCTTCTCGAGAAGCACTCTTAAGTCACTTGCTTGAGTGTGAAATTGTTTTATATAATATCACTGAAGATGCAAACCAAATTGAGGAAGCAATGTGGGCTGCTTCTGGTTAGTATAGCTATACCTGAACAGAAATTTGGTTCTTTGTAGCCATCAAAGCTTGCCAAAATTGTATAATGAAATTATCAGGGATTCATGGTTCACTTTAATATGAAAATGGAGTTACTTGATGGAAAAATGCTGCACAAGTTGTTTGGTTAAATAGCAAGGAACCATGGAATGCACTATCACATTCAGAAGAGAGAGAAGCTGGCATGGAATGGTCCAACTTTTTAAATTACACATCTGTGTAGGCAGTAATTTCCTTAAATAACTGTCAACTGTTCTCATCTATTTGCATTGGGAGGTGGGTAAAAAACTTTCTCATATGATATTCAAAGAATGTTTTAATATTTTATATAATTATTTTGAGTTTATTTTTCTTAAAAGTCCAATAAAAATATTGCTAATTGTGTTTTGGAAACTTTCTCCTTATTGTTACACCCAAATTCTAATAGGCAGCTGGAATCGTTTTATGGTGAGAGTGCAGTATCATTCTTTACATTACAGCTAAACTAAATTATGCTTTTCTCTTTATAGTATGAATACTCAGAAAACAGAATAATTTGCATATCAAAAAAAATCATCTTTTTTGATATTAAAATAAACTTTGTTTGCATTCGGTAACTTTTTTTTTCCCATCACAAAAAAACACACTTTTTTATTTTCTTTCAGTACTTCAGCTGTCAATAAGATTAATCATTTCCTAGTATATATTGTTTTGGTGGGGATTTTATTCCCCATAACATTTAGCTCTGTGGCAATTATGTCAATTCCCAATAATTTGATTCTTTTTTACTATTTTTCTTCTATTTGTACTCTTTCCTGATTTTTTATTTTTAACTCAAGGAGCATTTGCTTAAAAACACATCACATAGAACATTGGTATGAGTGTCTATACAGGTCCTTTATATAAAAGCAAAAATACAGTTTGAATAATACAGTTTGAATTAAAATCCTTGCTTTCATTTAACAGCCCTACATAAGGAAATAGAGACTTTTGCAAAACAAAAGATATTCATCCTCATTTCAACAATAATGACCTGGGGAAATACCAAACCCTCTGACCCTGTAAGTAATACGAAAACATTATTTTTTTTAACCAAATGTTGCCATTTAATGGAAAATATTCACTACATTCAATTACACAACATATTTCAGGTGTGTACTTCAAAGATGGCTAGTAAAGTGAAGTGGGGTTTTGGGATTCTTTCACCCTTACTACCTACTGCCAAAATTGCTAGATGTAATTCACCAATAGAAAAGTTTAGGTATTGGGCTATAATGATACAGGAAGACATAAGGAGTTGCTTGGTCAAGAGGCAAAACAAATGCTAACCACAATATGCACTGTCTTTCAGTCATAAAAAAAAACCCATGTTAACTGCATATTTAATGAAATACATAATTAAAATAGATACATCTTTATATCAATATATGTATTTACAGTAACCATGTTGGGTGCTTTGTAGTATACTATTGCAGTTCTCAAATTCAGTGTTACGGAAATAGGGTTTTTCAACCTTGTGTAATGCTATATACAAAAAAAAATAATGTTTTTTTAAAATACAAAACGTAGTTAAAAATCTTTTACTGTGAAATTTGAGATTGAATTAATGACATTTTCAAAATGTTAAACCTCAACCATCAAATTCAAACCCTTGAAGAATTTCAAATTAAGACAAAGTTAAAACAGATTTTAAAATACTTTTGAAGAACTTTCTTTAACCATCTAGACCTTTAAAAATTGTTCTAAGAAATGTGTATCGGTCTTATTTTTTTTCTTCATAGGAAAATCCTGAGAATCCTTTTAATGAAAGCAATTTTCGCAAAAGAAAATCTCATCCTAGCTTTATGGATTACATAAATGCTGAAAAACACATTGCAAAACTCGGGAAAACTGTATGTATAGAACTTTTTTAAAAAAATAAGTTGATTTGTCTCCTTATTTAAAGCTTTATCATAGTCATGGAAATTATCAACCATTTGAACAAGTTTTAAGAATATATTATTTTCCTTGTAAATATGGATGACACAAATTATTAATAAAATATAGTAGCCTAGAGAATACTATAGTGTCTTTTGAAACCCAAGTGCATGCATAATAAAAATCCCAATTTCAGTTTTTTTCTTAGGTAGGGAGTAAACCATACTCATCTTAAAAAAATAGTTTCTTTGATTGTACAATCAATGTTGGGGTCTGTGTGGAAATATTTGAGGAAGAAAGGTTGTAGAGGAATGGGATCTTTGTACAGCTCTAAAGAAAAGCAGCATCTTTGAATATTAGCAAGCTATGTTAGAATTACATTTCATTTAAATACTTAGATGTTCTGGCCACACCTAGCATGTCCCTGGATAGTTTGTGCTCTTGGAGCAGAGGCCTTGTTGACTTTTGTTCCACCCTATAATTCACTTTAAAATCTCGGTCACAGAGCTGACACAGAATAGCTAAAATATATTATCACTTTATATGTTTTAAAATCCCCTCCTTCAGCTTTGCTTGCTTTGGTCTGATTAGACTATTAATCTTACTAAAGAACAGACTATGCCTCTATTTATATTTAAGAACTATTATTAAAGAAATACCAGCAGTGGCTCAGCTTACAATTCAGGAAAATGGAAGATGTTATCATTAGTGGTGGAGTAGTGAGGACATGAGAAAGAGAACAAAATACACTGGATGATGAAGGTGTCATTTGGTCATTCTTTTTCTGTGCTAGAGTCTCCCATAATCAATATAATTCAATGTCTATTGCAAAACTTTATCCAGCTAATAACAGAGTTTATTGAGAAAAAAACTTTTCTCTGATTTGAGCATATAGTTGCCATCTTATGCCCTGCTGAGAAAATAGCACTAGAAATTATACTCTGTTCTACTCTGGATTTAATAATTACAGAATAGAAGTAGAAGTTTGATTTACAGCTTGTAAAAGCAGTGGTGAATTGTTTTTTCTTTTACTGTGCTAACATGGATTTATAAGATCATGGGGAAAATTTCACACTTGCGATATTAAAAATATAAACATTTTAAAGAGTATCCATCAAACCTCGTGTTAACTACTGCCTCCACTTAATATCCCGATGAATTATTGGCTATTTTTCTGAGTAGTCCAAAGCACTGAGTCACTGCATACCAAAAGTATTTATGTAATTAGCTTCTAAGTGTTTGTCAGGCTGAACATCTGTTGAGAAGATAGATATGTAGCAGTACATTATAAAGGAGCTTGAATGTTTTCAACACCTACCTGCTGTAGCCCTTTCAAAAGGAGCCCTTTTCCTCCAGAACTCCAGTGTCAGCACCAATGGGTATCACTGACCCTGGATGGTTTCTGTCAGCACTTTGGAACAGGAGGGCTCCAAAGCATCTGTTCTTCCCATAAAATCAGCTTTGGCTTCCTGTGATGGCTGGAGACTTCTGAATTACAGTCTTTACTCATTTCTAAATCCAGTGGTATCTAGGGAATGTGCTATCAGTGAAAGAAATTACAGTGTTATCGTTCCCTGCAAAGAATTCAGACACTGGGATTCATCAGTCTTGCCAGCCAGGTAAAAAAGCTCTTGCACCAAGAATAGGTTTCCTAAGCCTTGTTTGCCTGTTCAGAGTGCAGTTTAATGGAAGTTGTTTCTTAAAGCAAGATTTCACCTCTGTGCATTAGTGTACCTCTCACCAATTTTTTGATTAAAAATCAATAACAGTCTGGGAGTTTAAGAGTCCTTGTTTTTTATCACTAGCAGTTTACCTTTACCTTTGTGGCATTCAGGGCATTCAGCCTGTGTCGCTTTTCTCAGAAGCTGCAATCGCTGGGGTCCTGGCAAATTCAGAATCCTTGGAGAAATATTTGCCTTACCAAAGACAGAAAGGCTCTTCATCCCTCGGCTCTGTTCTCAGTGGTATCACAGCTCCTGAATCCATTTAGACCTGTTTCTCATTTCAAGCAATTTATTAGAACAAAATTAGAACAAAGCGTAAAACAATCACAGCCTGGAACTGACGATCCCAGCTCGAAAGTGACACCTAGTGGCTTTAATTGAACGATACACGGGACAGTGACGTTCCTTACCCACGACTAAACAAGCTATGAGGAACACCAACTTGCCTAAGAATTGCCTTATTTTTAAAATTACCTATAGCCAAGTAACGCCAAGTAGTACCTTCTCAATGGGTGGCTTGTGACACTAAGTAGCTATTGTTAGAGGAACTGAACCTGTTTTAAAGGTATGTATTTCAGTGATATACAGCAGTCAGTGCAAAACTATGGTTTGTCTTCACGTGAGGCATGAGTTAGCACAAGGTACATGGAAGAAAATCCAGTGTTGCATTCTTTTTGAGAGAAATGAGAAATAACATCTCCTATGCTATTTCTTCTGCTTTAGAAGAGGCAGGTTTTTCCTGCTACAAGACAGAAATTATGAAGTGTCTTCTGGGAAACGGCTGCAGTGTGTCCAGAGCAATCCTGGGAGCTGCTGCTCTTAGGTGCAAACAGTATCTGTCATGGTATTACCCAAGCAAACTCAGTGTGTGTTAAGATCCGAGTAGTAAGAGAAACCTCTGCACAAAATAATATGCAAATAAGACCATAAACTGAAGTCAATCTTATAGATTTTATTTAACAATTAATGTGAGGTAGAGAGATAGAAATAGAAGACAGAGGAGAGAGATCAATCAGAAGATAGTCACCACCCAAGGATCCAGTGGCATCGTGTTGGTCCTTCTTCATACTGGGCTTCTCAGTGATGATGTTCCCAAGATCATTCAAAACTTTTCATATTTATAAACTATAGCAAACAGAGGAATTAATGTTCATTGGCTACACAGTTCTCTTAATCCATTGGTTAAATTATTCCCTCACTTCTAATGCTAATTAGTCCCATGCTCGTTCTTTGTCTTCTTTTGAGTTGATGGGTTTCTTGGGTCAGAAGGCCATGAGTTGGTGGTCATGACCTTCCCCCTGCCAGAATTACCTTACCTTATTCAGTTGGAGCTGATTTCAGCTGCACTTGCTGAGCTGGATCTCCTTATGATCTGTAAAGTCTGCATTCTTTGTGATCATTATCAGCAAAACATTCTTCTTCCCAAGCTTTGTTAAATCTCCCCCTGGGATAAAAACCAGACAATAATACCACCTTTATCTTTTCTTATCTCAACTTGCCACTGTTGTGGCTTATCTTACAGTCCAAGTTCCAGGTATTCACAGAGGCATATTCAGGGGGACTTCAGTGATGGTTGGTGGCTGCCATCTGACCCATAACTAGGGGTGATCTTTGTTTGACTACTGATATACATATGAGCAGTTGCTTCATTATGGTCCTGGCCACAGTTGGAATTTTTGTCCAGATGCATTAACCAGGATGTACTAACCAGATCACCCATGCCTAGAGTTAGTGCAATTCTGCTGTAGCTCCCTTCTGTGTTTATCCTATAGCAAAGTCCTTCTGTGGCCCTAGTAGTGTTTGAAACAGGCAGATGTCCTTACAGTGTGGAAGCTCTTCTGCTATCTGTAATGTCTTCTAATTTTAGTGTTTCTCATGATTAGTAACAAGCTGTTGAATTCAGTTGAGATGAAGTAGTTTTTATAACAAAGTTTCTCTTTATCAATACACTTTGTAAGTATATAGATAAAACCTCATGGATACAACACACTGATTCTGCAGCTTGTCATCAAGTTGCATGATGCTTTACTTATATAATCAAAGATTTGCTAAGACCTGTCTTATTCTGTTTCTAAAATACTATAAAGATGATAACAAAAGGTCCATCCCCCCCCCCCAAAAAAAAATAGTAGATCCCAAATCTGCACATGTTGCTGATAAAGGCAGGTTCTTTTACATTGTAGGATGAAGATATATAATGCCTAGGATCATTACAACATGGGAATTATTTAATAATTTTGTTTAATCTTAAAAATTTCAAAGTGATTAATTCAAAAAACTTCTTTGAAAGTTTTTTTCCTTTCAGATGATTTTTTTTTTTAATAACCATCCTCACCATTGATACAAAGAGTAACATGTATGTCCAAGCAGACAGGCAAATTTGTGACATTACACAATAATGATAAGCCAAAAATATGTGGGTTAATCATGATGTATGGTTAGGAAAACATTTAAATGGCTCAAAGATACATTTTTTTCTTAATTGTGCTCAAAAATTAAAGTTAAGAAATTGTAAAATCATCAATCTAATATTTTCTGCTCCTTTAGATAGCCAAATACAAATGTGATGCATTGACAAAATAGCTGCAATGAATTTTCAAGGGTTTTTTCCTTGAAAATAGGAAGTAAAAGCGTGTGTCATTCTGTTTACTTAATTGATTTACATCACTTCCAAATTTTGCTTCTTAATTTATTTTAATCTTATAATTTTTTGTTCAAATGTAGATAGACCTATTTTTTGGAAAGAGAAATGTAGACAGCTTTTTTTGAACAAAGAAATAATAATATGACTCAGGAAGCTACAGGATATGCAACAATTTATCTAGTTACAACTTGGAAGCAATACAGTTTGCACACTTTGTATATTTAGTGTCGCTCTATTGGGAACGGTGAGAAGAACAACACAGACTCTCTTGTGGAGTCAAACTGGAGAATTTCTTCCAGTTTATTGCCTCAGATCTTTTTTACAGACCAATACGTGAAAGTACAGAAAAGAAAAACTCTTATTGGCTAGTAAACTAACCCATCACCATCATTGGTCAGTGGGGTTCACCACCCCTCGACCTTGTCTTGCAAGAAAACAAGGAACAGACAATCAGCACCTGCAATGCTGTTTTCTATCTCTGAGGATTGTTTCAATTCCTCCTTATGATTTCCCAGGCCAGTTTCTCAGGCAAGACTGAGAAAGTTATGTGGCCTGCTATTCCACAGGCACTGTGCTGCCTGCTTCACAGTTAGCATCCATATATTTAGTGTACATGTATTCAAGAGTCAGTGTAAACCTGTATCCCAGTTGTAGTACCATATTTTAATAAAAACTTTCATGCTGATTTCACTTTACAGAACAATGAAAAGTTTTCAACTTATGTTGTTGCCTCAGGACATCAATATGGAGCTGGGGAAGGACTCTTTCACTACTTTTTTAAGGTAGACACCCAACTACATTAGAAGGATCATTTAATTTCTAGGGGCAAACTGCACTGGAATTGAATCCATTTTTAGCAGTCTTGGTATTGTAAGCTCAAAGCTTTCATGGGCAGAACCGTTTATTTGATCCTTTTGAAATATTTTAGCTACAGTGGAAGTGTTTTTCTCTTTTTTGGCTCTATTTTTTCTTAGATATTTCTCTGGTTTTTGAACAGTGTCGCCATAAGTACTTTCCAGCAGTGAGAACACATCTGTCATGTAAATGGAATCCAGGGAAATGTTGTTCTTCTCAACATTACAGTCTTTTTTTTTTTTTTCCTTTTTTTTTCTTTAAAGTAGGCTGGCAATGGCAATAACCATTCTCAAGAATGGTCTCCTTTACTGCAGTTGTATTAATTCTACAATAAACTGAACTTTAAATCTTTAATATACCGATCTGCCTAGTAATCAAATGTTCCTTTTTTAGCTCTAGTTAATTTTTTTCTCACTTTATTCTCTGTATTTTCAGATGTGTTGGGATGGTGAGACTTCTGCAATACCTGTTTTTGGAGATGGAAATAATATTATTCCAACCATTCATATTCGTGATTTAGCAGGGTGAGTGGAAAAAAAAATTCTCTGAGTAATAATTAATACCTAGCTAGATATCAAATCCAAATCCACTAGAGAGTACTGAGGCTTTGAAATTGTGTGAGTTGGTTTAAGGTCACTCTTGGGCCATTTTAACTGAGTCAAACTGAGCTTTCTGTTTCTTTAGAAGTAGATGTGCCTTCTGGAAAACTTTATGACTGTTGCACTGATGCTTTGCTTTTAATAAATGATGAGTCATGCTCAGTCTAGAGTGTGAGGCCAGTTAACTAGTACAGAACTGGAAATGGATTGTGGACTCTGTAGCAGACTAACATAATATCTTCTATAGATATAGCTCTTTATCCCTTTAACTTCTTTTCAAATAAAATTTGTAGCTGTACTTCTTTATTAAGTAAAATATATATGAAAATGTTGTACTCTGAAATGTTCTGCAAGAATTTGCAAACTCTTGGTACTATTTCATGAAATGCATTTAACAAGGAAAGCCACTTGGATGCTTCTCCAAGTACCAACCTGGGCTGTACTTGCTGTGTTTCAGAGTGCTGCAAAATGTAGCAGACCACAGGCCAGACTTTCAGTATGTACTTGCAGTAGATACATCGATGCACACCCTTGAACAATTAATAAAGGTAAGAGTGTTGGTGAAAATAAGAGATATGAGTTTCTTTTTTGTTTTTTAGTGTATGTGTATGTAAGGTTTTAAAACTATGCGTTTTACTGAAGTAGAAATTCCTATGTCTTCCTAAATTATCTTGAGCAGTAAATTACATGGAAGAGTACTATGAAAATCTCTAAGACTTCTGTCCTTTAGACAAAGTAGTTTATTTGATCTTGCTACATTTTTTGCAATGATATCATTAACTTAAATAGAAATTTTAAGATTTACTATATTTCAGTTATGGAGATTAAAATTTAAATTTTAATCTCTATAACTAAGATAGTTATGGAGAAGTGTTATGAGATTCTCAGAACTGTGACTGGATACTGAGTCTTTACCATGTGTTTCCCTTCATATTGTGGAAGATAGCTTGTTTTTCCAAGAGTTTTGAAATTAAGTCTAGAAGTAGTATGAATGACACTGGTAAACTATACACTGTATACACTTGCTTATGTAGATCGAGGAACTGTTACACAAGTACCAAACATGAGTTCTTTTTTTTTTTTTTTTTTTATTGTATCAAAGAGAGTTTCATTCTCTTCAGTACTTCAGTAGAAGATGAAAACTGTGCTTTGGTTCAGGTAGACATCCCAAGGAGAGTGGTTAGTGTCCTTTCAAGGGTATGTGGCTATTTAGAAATGCAAAATAAAGGACAGGAGTAAGTAGGCAGTTTTTGGGGACAGGAAATTGCCAGTGGAGAGGGTGCTTTAGTGTTGCCTTGGTAGGGAGCTGTACCAGCCCAGGGGAAGGTGCATGGGAAAGAAACACTTTGGGATTTGCAGTTGAAAATAGCTGAAGATTAGAAGAGGGGAAGCAGTATCATATATGCCTTTTTCATGTATACTTTCATTTGGGTGTCCACTAACTGGCATCGTTGAACCCAGAATGCTGGATTATTTGATCTGATGTTATGGTCCAGTTTAAACCCAGAAGAGCAAGGAAAGCTAAGTCTCTGCGTATGAAATGGAAAGAACTTTGAAGGTTCAAAATGTACCCCAAAACGTGATTAATACCAAATGAGGTTAGATGTGGGTGCCCAAAAATTGATATATTTTATTTAATAGTAAAAGAGGCAAAGAGGCGAGGAGAGGGTGACAAGAGTTAGGTGGAAGCATATCACCCATCCGAGGGTCCCAATGAGGTCTCATTGCTCCCCTCCATCTGAACTTCTGGTGATGAGGGTCCGCCACCACTGCCACCATGCCGAAGAGTATAGAATCCAGTGGGTTAACACACACTTTGGGCAGGTGGGAACGCCCCCGTGCCTCCCTTGGAGGGGGCCAGTTTGACACTGTCCCTTGCAACACTACGATCTACTGCCTCATGCTGCAGTGCTCTGGTGCAGGATCTGGGGACTCCTTTGGTGAGGCCTCTGGTGGGCCATGACACCCCCTCTGCTGTGGATAATCTTTTCCCCGGGTGAAGGGCCCCTCAGCTGAGCTGATCGGCACAGCGGAGTCCGGGCGGTCACTGCTTCTCACCAGAGGCTTCGCTACACACCCAAAACATCCCTCCCCCCGCCAAGACACACCTTTTGGTCAGAGGGTCTGTGAGGAGCCGGGCAGCTGATAGTCTTGGGGCTGCGGTCACAACTCAGAAGGTGTTAGGCTTGTGCTCTGTGAATGTATCCTTTTTCCCCCACCCCGAGTTGTTACTTTATCTTATCTTCATCAGCGAATTGCTCACGGCCTCAGTGAGAGCCCCATTCAGGGTGTGGTGGTCTTCTCTGAAGCCCTTGTAACAGTTTTTGCTATAATAGGCAAACGTCCTTCATGAAAATGTTTAAGTCGTAAACTATAATATTTCAGTCTCCGACAATGGCCTATATAAATGTTTATGATTTTATGGAATGTAGTGGGATTTAAATCTATTTTAAAGGGCTGTAGGAGTAACTAACAATTTCTGTCTAATGATGATATATATAAAAATGATACATAGAGAGTTTTCAGTGGCATTGATCTGAAAACCCTTCCCAATTATTTATTAAATACCTCAAGAACCTGAAGTGAAAGTGCTGGGGAAATAAAGATCTCCAAATAGATCTTAAACACTAGGAATCTATTCATACTTTAAAGAGCGTTATAAAATATTCTGTGGTTTTGGGTTGTTTGTTTTTTATTGCAGGTACTAAGGAAGAAGTGTTGCTTAGCAATCAAAAGCTATTTCATACTAACATTAATATATTGTTCTTACATTTATTTCAAATCAATATCCTGATTTTCCAGGTACATTATAACATAAAATTTAAAACATATATTTTATCCACAGGAATCCTGTTCAATTTTTTCCTAAGAATCTGATTTGTTAAGTGGGGTTTTTTTGTGGGTTTCTTGTTTATTTATTTGTTTGTTTGTTTTTCTGATAGTGTATTAGTAAAAATCTCGGACCTGGAAAAATTGAGAAGGTTCCTAAAGAAAATGCATTCCTGAGCAAAGAACTAACAGTCAGTACTTGTCTTTGTTTTATTACTTGAGGAAAGTATTTAAATTTACAAGTATAATATAATGAAATATATAATTTCTTGTTTCTTTATTTCACTGGAAAAATTTAGCACCAAATTATGTCTAAAAATATTTAAAGTGAATTTCAATTTTGAAAATAAACAAAAATAAAATCTAGCCATCATAAAAGACAGAATTTTGAAGAGTTACAGCCTCATTTAAAAGAATTAAACACAGAAGCTCTGATGTCACAGTTCTCCTTAGCATATGGGAGCATTCTAACAAAATCTACACAAAATGATAAAAATAACAACAAAAAAGTTGATAATGCAGTGCTGCTAAGGCTGATGAACACAGAATACGAAAATTATGTTGTATTCATCTATTTATCTGGAATAAACTGTTCAAAGGAGAAACAAATAAAATACAACCCAGAAAGTTTTAAGATGGTACTTGAAAAATTTATGAAAGGGGTGATTCCTTGCGATTACATGAAAACATCTCATTGTAGAGAATAATTGTTTAGTGTTGCATGTTCTGATACATCATAAGAACACTCAAATACATGTTGAAAAATAATATTTTTAAAAAGCTTAAAATGTCTGTTTTGCTTTGTATGCAAACCTTTCCCAATGCTTTAATTCTTTCTATTCTCCACATCCACTCTAGTCTCTTATTCCAGCTTCTCTTTTAATGTGCGTAGCTTAAGTCTGTAAATAAATGGAGCTTTGTTCCCTCAGCAAATGCAATTGGATATGTTGTTTGTGAACCTGCGATTCGAACCTACTTATCTGAAAGAGAATTTCAATATTAAGTGGGTTGCTGAGGAAGGACTGATAGAGAACATTGCACAAGTCATCATGGAATACAAGCAAACTCGAGGATTACTGGTAATGCCTTGGTATATACTATGTTAAACTGCCTTTCTCTCTTTATCCCCAAGAGAAATGGTTATATAAACACAAGTCTTAAATTAATTAAGTAAAAATACATAGAAGATGGATATAGATGCAAAATAAACGAACATAAAAAGTTAAAATTAAATTGAAAAAGTTAAATAAGAGACAATATAAGTTAAAAAAAATAATGACTGAGTTTTATTTCCTTTATGCCTAAAACTGAAATTCTGTAAATGCAAATTAGTTTAATGATGGAAAACTGCTATTCTCGTACTGGCTTCTTTATGCAGTATATGGCACTCTTGATATATTTTGCCTCAGTAATACAATAAGTGCATATTTTATTTATATAATAGTCAATAGTTAGGTGAGTATTTTTTGACCTTTATATATTCATTGAGTGTGGATATTCCAATGCAATACAGCCTTCATTCTACTCTGCTCTGTTGTGTAATTTACAGGGCAACTTCACTATTTCCTATGTTAGCTTGATATTTAGAATTTCTGTATTCTAATGTATATGTTACTGAAATGTGCAGAAATATGCTTGTTTATATTCAAGTATTGATAAAGCTGTTTAGCATGTCTATATCTGGTTCAAACTTTGAATAAGAGTTCAGGGCATGTAAAACAAGGTGAAGCTACTTTTGTTATAAGTTATTTATTGAAAGTCCCTTAGCTGTGAAAGGATTATCAGGTCTACGCTTGGGTTAAACTATTGCATCTAAGCACATATGCATGCAACTAAAAAAAACCAGTACATACCAGGTTGCAGGAAGGAAGGCTAGCAAGATTGTCTCTGTCACTGCTCTGTTGCAGAGTTTGTAGTGTCAGATTTACTAAATTAAGGTAGTCACTTAATTATCTATGATTTTGAGTTTAGTGCATAATATATTTAATAAGTATATACTGGAATCCTAATTGCACTTACTCATCCTCAGGTTAGGTAGGTTGAAATAAGACATAATTTAAGACTGTGATAGATCTGGAATTTTTGAGGTCAAAATAATAATTTTGATGACAGCAACTCTACCTCAGTTGGGAAGTAGGACTATTTCATGTAGTAGAATATCTATTTATAGTAGAATATCTGCTACCACATTCCAAAATTCACTGCATCCTACCTGTGGGATTGTGTTTCATTTCTTTGGATTATTCAAACATTAATTAACCACAACAAATTTGTCTGTAAGTCTACTAAACAGAAGCATGCTTTTTCTCCAACAATAAATTTCTTCATTTAACTATGTTACTCAAGACCAGTGGGTGATAGAGAAGATATTCAGCAATAAATAAATTAATAAAAAAATATATCTTTAGTTTAAAGTACAATTGCTATTTCCTATTAGTCATATTAAAAATATTGTTGCTTTTACATAAAAAATATGCTATTTGAATAATGTTATATCTTTATCCTTTTTTCCAGCCTCTCAAAATTTGCATTCACGGTCCTCCTGCGTCTGGCAAATCTACCATTGCTAAGGAGCTCTGCAAACACTATAAACTACATTATGTTACGATAAACGATGCGATTTCTGAAAAAATTGCAGATCTGGTGTGTTGCTATTTTCTAATAGTCCTGTTATCGTAATTTATCTGATTTTACAATGTTTAGCGGCATTTAAAAATTACTTATAATCCCATTATTTTAGAATGGAAATATCTTTCAACTTACTGATCATCTCTAGTGATTGCACTAAAATCTTTCTAGAGAATTAAAGTTGCTCAGTATCTCACTGTTCATGGGCACACATGAAAGGAATTATTTATTTTTTTCTTTTACTACATCTGTGTATAAAATAAATTTGGTTATGGAATTTCTGAGCCAATTCATATTTCTGTTCTTGTCATCAGGAACAAATTGTGGCTAAAGAACCTGAAAGGGTGGAAGGAAAAGTAGAAAGAGAAGGAGAAGGAGAAGATGATGTGCAGGAGGAGGGTGAAAATGTAGAAGCAGCAAAGGAATTATTAGACGAAATAAAAGAAAACATGCAGCAGAATAAAGGTAGGAAATACAAAGTATGATGATGGGATTCAGGCAGCTAATGGAACTCTGTGCAAATGGAAATCAGGAAATAAATTTGTAGTCTAGACTTTTACTTCCTATTAAAATCAAGAATCAACTGGACAAGGGAGAGGAACTATAACAAAGGGTTTATAAATGAAGGGTTGAGTCTGTTAATGAAGAGTTGAAATAAAGACAGGGAGAGATCACTGAGTACTGTCATAGGCAAAACAGACCTGACCTGGGGAAATTACTTAAATGTAATCCAAATCAGAAAACCCACCTTCCCCTTCTCTCCTGAATTTACACAGGGAGATGAAAAATAGGGGATATGGTCAGTTCATCACATGTTGCTTCTGCTGCTGATTCCCCCTCAGGGAGAGGAGTCTTTTTCTTACTCCAGTCTGGGGCTCCTCACAAAGAAGACAGTCCTCCATGAACTTCTCCAGTGTGAGTCCGTCCCATGGAAGACAGTTTTTTATAAACTGCTCCACTGTGGGTCCCTTCCACAGGATTCAGTCCTTCAGGCACAGGCTGCTCCAGCACGGGTCCCCATGGGGTCACAAGTCCAGGCATCAAACCTGCTCTTGCATGGGCTTCTCTCTTCATGGGTCTACAGGTCCTGCCAGGAGTGTGTTCCAGTGTGGGCTTCCCATGGGGTCACAGCCTCCTTCTGGACACCCACCTGCCCCCGAGTGGGCCTCCTCTATGGGCTGTAGGTGGATCTCGGCTCTCCCCTGGACCTCCATGGGCTGCACAGTGACAGCCTGCTCACCATGGTCTGCACCACAGCCTGCAGGTGGATCTTTGCTTTGGCACCTGAAGCACCTGCTCCCCTCCTTCTTTGCCTACTGGGTGTCTGCAGAGAAGTTTCTCACACAGATTCTCTCTTCTGTCTTCCCTGGCCACATTTAGTTCTGCACAAAGACTTTTTCCCTACATAGATATTTTGTCATAGAGGCATTACTACTATCACTGATTGGCTTAAATTTGGTCAGCAGCAGATCTATCTTGGAGCCATCTGGCATTGGCTTGGCCGGATATGGGGGAAGATTCTACCAGCTTCTTAGAGAATCCACTTCTGTAGGTCCCCTGGCTAACAAAACCTGTCCACATAAAACCAATGCAACCATACATCTCATATATTAAAAGTGATATATTTTTTAAAATAATTTGGTGCTTCCTTAATTGTAGCACTTTCATCTTTCTACTTCAGACTTTTTAAATTATGTCATGTTTTCTTCTCAGAGCAGAAAGCATAAAATTAAATAATATAAATTAAAAAGTTGGTGGAATATACCTTTGTCAAAATTGCAAAAATAAAAGTATTCTAGTAAAAAAAGTGCATGCTCATATGAAATTGTGGGGGTTCTTTAAGAACCTCATTCATCATTAGAAAGTAAATACTGTTTATGGAAGCCCAGAAAGAATTTCAAAGTTTGTAGATTGAAAAAAGGTTCCTTGCTGAAAAGCATTAGTTACCATCTGTATATGAATAATACCATGTAGTTTTGGTCTTAGTGCTTAACATTTTCTATGTGGTATTGTCTTGGTTTGAAAAGACAGGTGTCCTCTAAGGAAGTCAGTATCTTTCTTTGACATGGAAAAATGTAAATCTCCCCCCCTCCATATTATTATAATCTTGAAATCAAGGTGCTGTCAGGAAAAGATATGGGAATAGGAATAACAGTTCTTTACTAGGAAAATTAAAATAAAAATGCAGTAGTAAAAAAATAAAACACTGACAGAGTCAGAATATAACCTGACTCCCTGTTGGTCAGGGTGTTGGTAGAATGATTAAGTGGTGGCTGCAGTCCTCCTGCATTGACAGATGTTGTTCTGTTGAAGCAATGATCCTGTAGAAGGGTGTAGTTTTCCTCTGAAGGTCCATTGGTGGTGTAGATGGGTCCAGTCTTTCCTTGCGAATCCGGTGGAGAAAGGCTGACGGCATTGTTCCAAGTCTCAAATTCTATCCGGGCAGGAATGCTTGGCTCCTCCCCCTGGCTGGAGCATCTCACAATGGGATGATGTAATTTTATCAGTCAAGTAGAGAGACTCAATGGCCCATTAACAGAAGATATCCCCCTGGAGGGAGAATGAGTCATGGAAGATATAAAGAACACTGCCACACCTCATCTTAAGAGATGGTAATAGAATAAGTACTTTTGGTTACATCTTGCATTGCAACCCAGTACAGATATAAAGTGATCCCCCTTAAAAATGCAATCTCTTTCTAAGGGTTTACCTGATTTAGATCTTTGGATCTGATTTGTGTATCTGCAAAGAAATGAATTTCGTACACACTTGGAAGCTTCTGTAACGAGATCTATGGCAACAACTCTTCTGCATGATTTGATGCGTTGTTTAAAATAAAAATGCTTTTTAAAATAGTTACATACTTTTAAAATAGTTCAGAAATATCTAAGACTTTTAATAGCCAAAGCAAAATGAAGTAGGAAACTGCAGCTAATGTTTGTAAAAGGATAAAAAATCAAGTCAAACCTTTTTCCTCCTACATATTTTCTCAACAATGTAGGACAAGTAAATAAACCAATTTGTATCTCCACCTGTCTGAAAATGAAACTTGTAGATCCTACCTCACATCTTGTTGCAAGACTCTCTTTCAGTCTTACTGTAAAATGAAAATAGAAAATTATTGCTTTCTCGTGATTTTTTTCTATAAGAATTTCTTTACTGTTTCTATTAAAATCTGATTGTACTATTCAAATAAAACTAACTTCATGTTTAGGTCATTAAAGTACTAATTTATATCCTAAACACAAAGGTAATTTTGTTGTATATCTACACCTTAATATACAAATAGTAGCTCAAAATATTTAACTTTTTAGGGTCTAAGTAGAAGAAAAATGTATTAAAATGTATTAAATGTTAGTAAAATAATTTCAGATCTCTTGTTTCTTTAAGCTAGGTACCTATTGACCTTCTTTGTCTTAGGCCAACTAGGTGATGAGTATCTTATTAAAATTATGAAGGACAAGCTCATGTCTATGCCTTGTAGGAACCAAGGATATGTTTTAGATGGGTTCCCAGAGACCTATGAGCAGGCAACGGATCTTTTTAAAGGTATATACTGTTTGGTTTGGTTTTGTTGCTGCTTTTGTTTTTATTGCTGCTGGTGCTGTAATTACCATCACTGTTTCAGAGCCATACTACAGGAGTGCATCAGCACTGTAATGACTACAGTGCAAGATACAAAACAAAGTTTTGCAATTGTGATTACTATAATGTAAGAAGGACTGTAATGCACCTTATTTCATTTATGCACAAGATAATTTTTAGACTACAGTAAAAAGTACATGCACAAACATGGAGGATGCTTTCTTGTCCAGTGTGGGTCTACTTCACTTAAGCCAGCTCTACAGTAGAATTTCTTCATAATATTTAAGGGCTACTGAATAAGGGCATCCAGCCAGTGCACCAATACATAATTTATGAGCCAAATTAGAGTGTATTTATTAGATGAGCTACAGTAGTCATGACTTCAGAGAAGCTCTGCAACAAACATTTCAAATTGTGAGCAAGCACTATCTATATATTAAGACCAGGAGTCATTTTCATGTTTAACATACACCTGGGGTTTGAAGGTACAGAAAAAACAGTCTTGTTCAGCTTAGCTGTTCTGCAAATGGTCATGCTCAGCTGATACTCTACATGTGGTTTTACTGACTATTTGTAACAGCAGACCCTTAGTGGCTAAAAACATTTTAACCATAGTATTGTAAAATATTTCTACTTGCTGTTCTGAGCCTTGTCTCTATTTTTTGCAGAATAATTTATTAGGCAGGAGGAGAGGCCAAAGATAAGACAGCAGTTTTAAGACTGGACATATTAAAAAATTTTGTGTGCATGTCCACCTGTCTGTGGTATAGGAAAACACAACTACTAGTGTCCCAAGGTACAATTCTGTGGTGCCTGACTACATGAATTACTTACTGAATTCTCTAAACTGGTGTCAAGATTAGATTAATTTCCAATTCTTAGTATCATTTGGATGTTGGCAAACCTGTGTTTTACTGGGCACATTTTTAGCAAATAAAGTGATATTATTGCTTCAAATGAAAATAATTTCTTACTTTTGTTTTAGAAGAAGAGGATGAAGCAGAAGAAGAGGAAGAAGAAAAAGGCATAATGCCTAAATTTAATGAAATAATTATACCTGGTAAGTTTGATAGATTTCTTTTTAAATAAACTGAGGAGTTTTATTTTCTAATTAAATAAACTTAGGAAATATTGCTGCCACCAACAAGAAGACTAAAATATCACTCCATCTCTTCCTATTTAATTTAACTTAAAAAAATATCTATTTCATGTAATGCTGCTGCCCTTGTATTTAAAAGTGAACAATTAATCATAGAATCATTTAGGTTGGAAAAGACCAGTAAGAACATCAAGTCAAACTGTTAACCCAGCACTTCCAAGTTCACCATTAAACCATGTCCTTAAGTGTCACAGCCCGTAAGTCTTAAATACCTCCAGGGATGGTGACTCAATCACTTCTCCAGACAGCCTGTTCCAATGCTTGACCAACTTTTTGTCAAAGTTTTCCTTAATCAAAAGGAAGGGTTTGGTGCAGTTTCTGGGTTGTTTGTTTGTTTGTGTTTTTTTGTGAAAATGCCATCAACAGTTGGCTGACAGCAGTAGTGGCTGTCTTCTTATGATTACAGAAGCTTGATGGATAAAATTGTAATGCGTTAGTTATGCTGGGAATTAAAATAGAGTGGTTTTCATCTATGTCAAAATTGCTTTATCCTTCTGTTTTTGCTTGATTCCGTTGGAAATTTTGTATATATTCAAACAATACATTCTTTTTCACAGAATTTATTTTTTCTTTGACTGCATCTGATGAATTCCTTATAAACAGAATAATAAATCTGCCAGAGGTCGAAGTTGATGGAACGCATTATACTGAGGACCAGTTCCTGCAAAGTCTGAAACACTTCCGCAAGTTAAATACCGATGATACGACAGTTCTCAACTATTTTGATGAACTCGAAATACATCCTCAGTTTATTGGTATGGAATAATAAAATTAGTAGATATGAATAAAATTTTTTTTTCCTACAAATTTTTGTAAGAACAAAATTTGTTCTTGCACACTTGCAAAAATCTAATACTAAGTGTCCATATATAAATAATATTTTTATTACATTGCAGAATACATACACAACAAGCATTTAATTATATACCTGCAAAAAATGTTCTTTTACAGTTAACCTGTTTGTAAAACTATGGGTGTAAATTTTTCATTTTTGTAAAGTTAATTATTAAAATAATTCTATGACTTAGGTTACAGATCTCTACACTGGCACTTTTTCAGATAGGTGCAAGCGTACATTTTAATGGACATAAACATGGTTCTTCATATTTATTTCTTTAGACTTATTGTCAGATGCTATTGTTGTCCATAAAAATCAGATTTGTTACCTGGTGGGCAACCAGCTAATAATTACACTCTGAAAAGACGCATTGATTGTTTATTTCAGAGTTGTGCTAACCTCTGTGCTTGGTGGTACGTCACAAATCAAACACCCCTACTATCAAAACTTTTCACTATTTCTACATTTTACCAAACAAAGGGATTAGTGTTTATTGACTAAATATTACATAGTTCTCTTATTAATTAGTATTCAATCTTCTACTGGATAATTATTCTCTTGCTTCCCATGCTAAGTGTTTCCCTTCTTTTGGGTCAGTGGGTTTCTTCAGTTGGTGGTCCTTGAGTCTATGGTTGTGATTTCTTCACTGCTGGCATTTACTTTTACCCAGCTGGAGGTGATTTCAGCACAATTTCTGAGTTGACTTTATTAGTTTCTTCATTATCTTGGGCATTCTGCCAAATGACCTTATGGCTTGTAAATTCTACACTCTTTGTGTCCTGTCAGTGGTACACCCTTCTTCCTAAGCTTTGTTAACGGCCCATTGGTCTGAGACCATTGAGTCTTGTCCAGGTCTAAACATTGACAAGGTAATTCTACCAAAAAATAATTTGTTTTTCTAACACCTGGACATCATTTAGAGCTTGCCATCTGTTTCATGGGTTAAATCCACCTTCTTGTTGATCAAGCTTGAAAATATACAAAGATGAAACATCAAAGAACATAACTTCTCAAGAAAATTTTTACATTTTGCAACACCATGACAATATGTGTGTAATCTGCAAATTTAGAAGTGTTTAAGAAAATTATTAGAAATTAAAAGTGGAAGGCTGGGACTGAATCTGTTTTGCACTACACCTATATATGAGAATACTTTTCTTCTCTACATACTATCTAGAAAATTGTGATCACTGGGAAATCTTGAGAAAATAACTATAATCTGATTATTCAGTGCCAATGAGATCAGAGTGACAGTATTCTAATGAAAAGGTGGGTCTTTGAGGGGAGAGGAGAGGAAAGAAAGAAGGGTGAGACCTCTGCAACTAAAACTGCTGATATTTGGAATGTATATTTGAGATGAATGATGAAAAGTTAATTGTTCAACCCCCTTAGCCATAACTGAGTTTCTAAATTTTTTCATTTATTGTCAGTTATGGAGATTATTTAGAAAATAATAAGATACACTTTTAAAAAGTGTAGTAGTTGGAAAAAATAGTGAGACAGTAGAATTATTTTAGAATTGAGGAAATTCCATTATGGAAAGCAAATGTATGAAATGGTAAATATTAAGATCTGATGCCATCAGTTGGTCATATTCTTAGCTTATACACTTCAAGATATACAAGTAGAGGCACTGTAATTCAAAGAATTATGCCGAAAGATGATAAAGATTAAAAGATTCTTTAACTGTAGCCCATTCCAAATACAGAAACTCATTTGCCTACTGATTTGAATTATTGCAGTATCACAGCTGTGATGTTCCAGATGCTTTTCACATTGAGTGTTAGCATTGATTCTCATGTTCAAATGAGCATCATCTTTAGGTCCTGTTTGTCTCAGAACTGCCTCTTTACCCATGTTCACATTCCTGGTTGTTACCCATGGAAGTATGCAGGTGTGTTGCTTCTGCTGTAAAATGTCAGGAACAGGTTACAAACTCCACTAAGGATCCTTCAGCTCAGTCAATACTCCTCCATTCTAGTTGATGCCCCAGCTGGATTTTCAGATGCACAGAATTAAGTAGCAATGGATTTAATCAGAGACCAAACTGCTTTCTCAGCTATATTCTGAAGAAGGGGTTAAAAATTATGCTTGATTTGTTCAATATTGTTTCAAAATAATAAAAGTTTTTTTCTACCTTAAATTAAAAAAAATCATAACGTATGGTTTTATGTATAATTTTTATGATTTTTATTTTTTCTGAGTCTGAAATATGATTACTACAAAGGAGTGGGCTTCAAAATTCTGAAAACTCAACTTTGATGACTCACTGTATGAAGACTGCAAGTTGGATATCTTGTGTCTTGTTTTTCTCATTTGCAAACTGGGAATGGTGACAGGCATGTTAGATCTTATACAAAAATACATGTTAAAGTTACAACAGCAATTTCCTTTGAAGACCTTAATTAATTAACTCCTTCTCCAGTGATCTTTCCTCTCAGCTAGCATAAATGCTAACTTCATTTTTCATTTAAAACACATTAGTTTTTGAGGATAAATGTAGTTAATTATGATTGCTGTAAAATGTACATTGTACTCTTCTGTGGCTGTCTAAGAAAAAGATCAAATTCAACACTGATACCGTTCTTAGAAATACTTTAAATGGCTAGAAAAGTGATTCTCATTGTAATTTGTATATCCAGGTGCTGCTAAAATTCTAAAAATTATGGGCTGCTTGCCATAGCAAATGTATTGCTTTAATTCAGAGTACTTCAGGAAGGTAATTCCTGATTTTTTGAAAGAAGAATCTGTAAAATAAGTTTTATTGTATAGGACTATATTGGTTCCCTCTTCAATTCATGATCAGAGTTTGGATTTGAGGTCCAAATCACAAACACTAACTCTTGGAAAAATGGTGTTAGTATTTGCGAGTCTGATCCTGCCTGAGTCGGTGATTAGAAAGAGATGAGAAAAATGCTTTGCCAATGACTTTCAAAATAATTTCCTAAAGAACTGTGAAGCAGAGGCTACTGAATTCTCATCTAAGTTCTATATTCAAATTCCTCGTTTTCCCTTCATCTGCATGCTCTCTTTACCCATTTCTGTGCTTTTACAATTTCCATTTCATGCCTCTGAACAAGCCCTTTACCTCAGTATTCTCTACCTCAAACGTCCACTTTTCCTCTTTTCTTTGTACATTCCTATACTGTTTCTGCCTCTCCACACTGAACGCATACAGAAACCAGAGAGCCCTGGAGAATGTCTTGATTTGTATTTTTTATTTTTCTTCTTTCTTGTCAAGTTTAATGTGCAAGTAACTTCCAGCTATTAAAATGGGAGAAGGAATAAAGTGAAAGAGAAGGTCTTGTTCAGTCTTCATGTTCCTACATGAAGCTACAAATTTTTTTTGTAAATATAACACAGTAAGAGATCGACTAGAGAAAGGTCTGTGTATTTGTAAATCTGTATGGGTGAAAACATTGGATCTTGTGCCACATCCTAACAACCTATTATGTAGCATTCAGTGGGGAGAGAATGACAAAACTGATGGTTTTGTGTATCTCTATAAATTGACCTAAGATTGCTGTCAGGAACATCTCTGAGAGTTGTTAGTTGATTTCTTATTTGTGTTTCAAAACCTGGGCAAGCTGCAATTGTTCAACAATAGTTGTAAAATATATTTTAGTGTGTTTCTTCCTTACATTACCTTAAAAGGCAAACTATTTTAGCTGAAACTGGTAAAGAAAGTCAGATTTAGAAAACTTCATTCTATGTAACAAAAATTTGACATTTATAAGCAATTGAAAACATCTTTTACTTTAAAATTCCAACAACATGAACACAATATATTTTTAGGTCTTGCAAAATAATTGACAATAGTTGACAAAAGGCTTGAAATGGTTCTCCCTTGTATTGTTTAAAAGATATAGCTGTATATGAAGATGCTGAGAACAGACTTACTGTACCAAAGATCATCAAAGAAGTTGGAGAACCTCGGAATTATGGTTTGACAGATGAAGAAAAGGAGGCTTTGGAACGTCAAGCAGCGGCGGAACGCCTTGTCAAAGAAGCTCAAGAAAAAGCTGAACAAGAGTATAAAGAAGCTCAGGAAAGGGAAGAAAGAATGGCAAGATGTGAAGAGTGGGTATGTTAGCACATATCTTCGGGAAAACATTTTTATTTATGTGTTTTAGATGGCTTCAAGTAATTTGTTATATATAAATATACTTGGGAAATGTAGTATAAATTCTCTCATTTCTTATATCCTGCTTTAGGTCTGGGTTAGGCTATCTTCATAGCACATTTTGAAACCCATCTTACAGAATATAATGTCTTTTTCATTACAAACATTTTGCATTTTGGTATCAGCATGTCTTTAAAATACTTTTATGGTACTCTGGTTGCTGCTGTGCCATATCTCTTCTATTTTACCATTTATATATACCTACTATAATCAGTGGAGATTTTCCTTACCAAATCTAATAGCACTTTTGCATTTTGCTCAGTTTACCTCTAAGCGCCTAAGTCTTAATTATCAAACTAGATTTTTAACTCAACACTGACCTAATCTTCCAGCCTACATTTCAGAAATATTTCTGAGCCTGCAAGAGCATGTGTGAGAGCTAAGTAGTTGGTTCAATAAGGACTACCTGATGCAGTCTGAAGGATGTTTTTTTTTTTTTTTGCTAGTTATCTAATAAGTACTTGGTATTTAGGCTACCTGACCACAGAAGACTTGCAGTGATGCTTTTTCCTTATTTACTTTGCCACACAAAAGGACATTTTTAGTTAAATGACCTGAAATGCATACTGTGAGAATCTCCCTGTTCACACCCAAAGTCAGACCATTTCACCAGAAGGCAAGTCTATTGTCTTCTTGAAGAGCTATTTAAAAACAAACTGATCATTCCACAGAGAAGTCTTTTTCTTATATTTGAATGCCCATACACATCTATGGGGTAATAATATGCTGAAACTACTGACCTTTAAAGGAGCTTTTACATTCCTCTGATGTTGGCTTGTAAATAACCGGTTTTTAATCTCTGATTAGTTACAGCTTCATTCAACATTAAACAGCATTTTGTACTCTATAAAATTCTTAAGGTTAGCTAACACATTTTAGGTAGATTCAATCCAAATGGTCTACCTTTAAAAGTGCAAACTGTGCATTAATCAAAACTGAAGTAGGTGTTTAAATAAAACACGTGTTTAAGGTTGTCCTTTAAAATAAGCAGATGATCAGGAAATCAAAGCAACTGTTCATTTGCCCTTGGCACTGTAGATTAGCTGCTGTCTCTGAGTAGTGACCATAGACCACTTGCAAGATTTATTCAATAGCTCTCGTGGACTGAGTGAATAAGGTAAAAATGGGTGTACCTATTTTATCTGATTATTGCTTTTGTGTTATGCTTCGAGTATAGAAAAACAGTCTTCAGAATATCATCTGTTTGCTGTAGCAATGTATGATTCAGGCTACTGATGAATAAAATGAATGAAGAGAGGACAAAGAAAACGACTTGAAGTAATCTTCTGGCTAAAGCTGCTGCAAGTATGCAGCTACTTAAGTGCTACTGAATAGAAGAAAAGCTTGTAGCAGTTTTATTTCCTCATCCCTCTTACTTTTTGAGTGTGAAAATTGGATTCGATTTCAGCTGAATTCAGAAGTAAATTTGGCTGCTGGAAACAGATGTAATTCACTGTGGTTTTAGTCTATTTGACTCTCAAGCCCCTCGAAAACATCAATGAAATAAGAATAAAACAAACCAAAGAAACCAAAGAGACTCAAACTCAACACTACAAACAAATTAAAAGTTTAGAAACCCAGGACTCTATATAGACTAAAAATATGCTTCTTTCCCTCCAGGTCAAGGACGCCTCAATAAACCGCCTGTGTTTGCAGTAGCACTAAGTTTTGAAGTGCTACAGTGTAGCACTTCAAAATGTAACCATTTTGCTAAATACCTTATGGAAACAGGGCCACTGGAAGCCTCAAAAAACCCCCTTCTTTTCGGTGTTAAGGAAGAAAAATAAAATAATTTTAGTAAGGAGATTATGTCAGTCCCTATTATGTTAAATTCTTTGTCCTCTGTGTGTTTTATGCTCTAAATTTAATAAGCAGTTAGTAGTTTTTCTTATCAACTTGTTCTTTAAAGTTCTGTCCACAGCATCTAACACTATCTTTTCCCTCTAGACCAGCATTGTTATTTAGCCAAATAATATTTGATAGATGCTATAAACATTTCATTTTTTTCTTTATTACTTGTAGAATAAACAGCAGGAGGAAGTGAAAAGACAAGAACAAGAGTTCTTGGAGGCCCAGTCTGTTCCATTACGGAACTATTTAATGCAGAATGTCATGCCAACACTTATGCAAGGGATAAATGCATGTTGTATGATCAGGCCAGATGATCCAGTCAATTTTCTGGTAAGGTGATTATGTTTTGTTTCTTAAATATTTTTGAATACTCATCAAGACCCAAAGAATCTCTCTTAATGAAAGGATTAAAATTTCCTCCCCGCTTTCAGGCTAGCAACTCATTAAAGATTAGAACTTGCAATTCTGTTGAGCAGCAATTATAGTGTAAATTAAAACCCAGAAGCTACTCTTCATGGGATTAGTTGATACTGTGCATCAAGGGAAGTATCCAGTGTAGTTAAACAGTAATAGGACGAAAATCACTACTAGAACCTTCTTTTCCCTTGGTAGGTGTGCTCTGCTCATCTTATGTACCCTGACAATTCTGCTGTGTTAAACAGGACTACAAGTTAAAGAACTTTTTTACATTGGGCTTTAATTTCCATTAGATTGATTTGTGCCAATTAACCTATTATGATATCTGATAGCTGGAGTTAGGTGCCTCAAAAGAGGATCCACAAAGAAATCCCTGGACAATTATACCTTTACAATCTAGACTCCCCATCCCTCACAGGACCTCCCTCATGGGACCAGGAGCTCTATGAGGGTCTGAGATCTGGTTGCCCTTCACTGGTTTACTGTATGTTACCAGAGGGTTTGCTAAAGGGTCACCTCCACACCCTCTCAGGTTGGTTTCAGTGGGCTTTTGGTTGATTCTGGTTGTTACAATAATGTGGTTCTTATGGTTTGTATACCATGATCTATGGGCTGTCCACTCCAGCTATTAATTTTTAAGTAATGTTTAAGCTGCAGTTTTGTCTATTCTATTATTAATGTTCAGATTGTTAGTGCCAGGTTTCACTGTAATCCATCTTTGACTGAAAAACATATCCATATGGTTCAGATAAAGTTCAACCTGAGGCCTAAAAATTCTAGCTACTTATGCCTACTTTCAAATGATTTAAAACTTTTAACTCTTCAGAATCACTTCCGATATCACTCTCCCCATCCCCCCAGATGCAACTGAGCATATTGTCATAATGATAAATGCAAGCTCTTTGGTAATTCTCTTCACGATACACACATAAATGATGGAGAAAATCTTGTAGGACATAACTAATTCCAGTTGCAAATGACCTCAGGACGTTATCCTACTCAACTTTTGGCTGCAAGCAGGGTCAGCATTGCATTCAGACAAGAATCCAGGTGCTGAAATGTTATTGCTCTGCTGCTGTTCTACCTGCACATCCTAACCAAGCTGTTACAAGATGAAACAGAGCATTTTATTAATAATTAAAAACTTGAAATGAAAGCAATGGTGTTACGGTCCCACTTCAGGCATTAAGGGATGTTTTCTCAGTTTAACCTTTTTGCCTACTGGTGGGTGACAATTACCTGCAGCTGTAGGAGTATGAGATCTTCCCTAATATCTGCATAGCTTTTAAAGATCAGCATCAGTGGGTCCAGAAACCAGGTTCTAGGGTACTCCCTAGACATTCAGAGTGACAAAAACTGTTATAGATGGCTCACTTCCTTCTCTTGCCCACAATAGAAACGGGGTGACTGCAATGAAGAGGGGGAGTGAGGTCAATGGTATTTTGGATTGTATTTGGGGGAAAGAGATTTCTCTGACATAGAGACATTTGCTACCATAAGTGACATTTTAGGGCTATTTAATACCTACTGCAGTTTTGTTTAAAGCAATGTTATCCACTATATCTTTGTTATTTTGAATATATTTCAAAGCTGGAGATGTGAAAATAACTGTAATTTTGAAACTCTTCTGTTTATAGGCAGAATATCTCTTCAAGAACAGTCCTGATATCGATTGGAGTAAACCTTAAATCCTAGCAGCAATAGGAATTGTGAAACAAAAAGGGAGAAAATTCCTAATACATTTTAGATAAAAATACTTTCTGATGTTATTTTTGTTTAGGCTTATTATGTCATCTTCATTTTTATTTCTCATACTTTATTACTATTTTGTACTGGGTTTTTAACACTCTTCTAAATTTCCATTTGCTGCATGTATGGATTGATGCATTTACACGTCTCTATATTATATTCCTAATCCTTAGTGAATGTAGGCAGCTAGCATGAGAAAAACTTTTATCCAAAAATAAAAGTGTTTCTCTGTCCTATTCCTCCTCCCAGTAACCAAGAGGCAAAAAGTCACACAGTACAGTCTTCTTGTGCTGCACTGAAGACTGACTGTTAAACAGTTTCCCAGCACAGGTATGTCATAAAACCTGTGTTTCACTTTGGTATCAGACACATGGCTGTAGAACTCATTTAATAATCTTCAGCATTCAACACTAGATAACATATTTTTTAGAGATTCTTGAAGAATCTAGACTTTCCAGCACATGGCTGTCCTCAATTTTGATGACTTCATCCAGATGTCACAGGAACTATATCTATGCTAACTGAGCTGAAATTGATTGCATACGTGGTGTTAAACAAATACATGATTTTGTCAAAACAGAAGGCAAGGACCCTTTGTGCAAAAGGAGGGGGGGAAAAAAGTGGAAGAGCTGAAAGAATAGTGATATAGAAACATTTCACAGCTATTTTTTCTGTAAGTTTGAGTATCAGAATTTTAGATGTGTTAATGGCCAATGTTTTTCTTCAAGATATATTAGTGTTTTTATAGAGTATCTTATTTCATCTGTTTTCATAGTCTCACAGACAAGTTGGGAATAGAGTTCAGAACCATCATCTCCTACTCTAAAGAAACACATATAAATATCTCTATGTCCTATCTGCTCTCAGCCCAAGTTACCATTTATCCTGTGAGGTGGTTGAAGATGAAATAACTGGTAGCTTTAGAAAATTTCTTAGTTTTAAAGGTAATTTTTTCAGAATAAAGATATAACCTGGTCACTTAAATAGAGAGGGTAAACCAGGTTTTATCCAGTTACTGTAATGCGTTTACTTTTCCAAGAATAAAGTTTTGAGCTGATCTATAAAGAGTGTGAATATTTTTTTAATAATCTGAAAGTTTATGCAGACTACTCCAGGCAGATGTTTCAAGAACAACTTTTAGAAAAGAATCCGTTTGGTTTGCGCAGGGCACGGCTGCACAGCAAGCCCGACGCGGTAGCCAAAGCCCCGCACGTGGCTGCCTGTGCAGNGAAACTGGTGCAGCTTTCGATTTGTGAATACGCTTCCAGAAGTAACAATCTAGTAAACAATTTCTGTTGGGGGACGGGACGGGTGTTAATCTGGATTTAGTGTGGGTCTGTCTTCATTGTTTTTAACCCATCCTAAAGACTTTTTTGCCCTGTCTTTTGGAATAGATCCTAAGATTTTATCAAAAGTAACTAACTATTTTCCAGGATGAGATTAAAGAATAGCTTGCTTTTTAGTGGAGGAGGAAGAGAGACATGAAGAGTGATCTGGGTTTTCCTTGTATGGAAACTTTGATAAGACCTAATGTCAGGAATGTGGAATGCTTTAACCATGTTTGGTTTCATTGAGCTTGCTTCTACCTTAGCTGTAACCTGTATAATTTTTTTATTGAGAGGCTTTATGAGCTTCTTCAATAACAGGAAATAGTGCAGTACTCGTTTTAATACTCAGTATTCATTGAACTGTGTGCCTCTGTCTTGACACCTTTTAAATTACCTGTTCACAGCCTATTCAGTGCAATTCCTTAATGTTTGTAAGGTAGACAGTGAACAAGGGAGATACCTCTTGAGTTTTTGTATTTAAGAGCTACAGAACCATTTTTTATTCATACATCTGCCCCAGCTTTTGTTCAATGTTGTGGAGACAGTCAGTGTGAAAGAAGAAGCTTTGGATTTTTACCTGGCTTTATGTCAACCCTGCATCCTGTGTTCTAGCGCAGTTCTTGTACAAGCGCCTACCATAACTTACCAGAAGCAGATGTTCTGAGGTGAAGAGAAAGAACTCGTTACGCTAGACAAAATAAAAAGAAGCAAAACCACCAAAATGACCGTACAAAATTAAAAAACAAAAACTAAAGCAACAAAAAAGCCCAATGAAGCAGCAAAAATACAAACATAAGTTATTTTTGTATAAAGATGTAGTGGTTTGTGAGTTGCCCGGGTAGTTTTAATACATAAGGTAGCACATGAGCACTTAACTCCTGAATTAAAAGCCATTTGTTGCAGGAGCTGCATAAACAAAACCACCTGTAAGGAAAATAATTTTAAGTGCTATATGAGGAAATATTATTTCTGTCTTTAGTCCCCTTGAGATGAAATGAATTTGCTTCAGAGCTCTTAAGGTTAAAACTTATTAAAAATACAGAGAACTGTGTGCTTGCAAGACATTTTTCTTGAAAAACAGGTCACCTGTTTCCAAACTAATGTCTGTGTTTGTACTATCAGTGCTGGCATGGTAGGCAGTTCCTTTTCTTCCTCCAGAACAAGAAAACATTATTCTTGTTCTTGAGGGTAATAAGTGCTCTGAAATGCAAATTGCTTCTGTCTGGGCAAGTAAGTGGGCTTTGCAAAATATTTCAATATGTCTTAATGTTATTCTAATTGTGTAGTTTATAGGCAAGCAATAAACAGCAAGATGTTTGAGATGGATATGAAGATTGCTGCAAGGCATGTGAAACGTAAGCAACTTCACCAACTGCTACCTAATCACGTGCTTCAGAAAAAGAAAAAGGTAAATTTCACTAATATTTGAGAGCAACGAAAATGCCATTGCTCTCAAATTTTTGATTTTTTGGTTTACTAATTTAGGTTTACTTAGATCTTTAGGTTTACTAATCAAAGAATTAAAATCACATTTTAAGATCTTAATTTTTCCTGCAAAATTTGTGTAGCAGTATTATTAGGTGCACTAAATATAATATTACATTTCTCCG